AACGCCTCAGACTCATTCCTTGGACGCTTTTCCCTGGAGTGTTCCCCAGCAGAATCCAACTCGATCACTGGAGTTGGAACTTCAGAAGAAGGCCCAGCGTTGTCTTGGATCGCAGGTCGAGCCACAACAGAAGTTGTTGGCTCCGTGTTTTGAACAGCCTTAAGGGCGTGAGCACGACCCTTAGGCTTGCGCTTCACACTGCCTGTRAATCCACACAYCATTGCTACGGAATAAACAATCAAAAGGTTAGAACCCAAAATTAAAGAGTAAATTAAAAGCAAGGACGAGCTAGGCTTACCGAGCTCAGAGTWAGGTCTTGAGGCTTCAATTGGGCRTACCAAGGGGTTGTAATCTAACAACCCGGATTYGAGAAGCAGCTTGTCAATCACCAAGGTTCTGATCTTCCTGCCCCTTGGAAAGCAATCGTTATATACTTGAGGGTATTGAAGGAGGCTTGAATGAACTCGGGAATTGGTCTGATCGACATTGCGCAAGACAGAAGAGAATTAAAAACAAGTATGAGAAGCAAAGGAGCTGTAAAATATAAAACCACAAAAATAATTATAACGACCTCGTACCTAAATTCCCAAACCTAACAGGAACGTCAAAAAAGGGACGACCAGACTCGTTCTTTGCCAGCCATTCTCCAGAGGCAAAGAACCACTTCCCCGCCCATCCTTTGATGGAGGTCGACCCTTTGACTATACCACCCGCACCCTTCCTTGCTCACATGTAGTACCGACCTGGCTTCTTAGCTATCCTTTTAGCTTCAAAGCACCCTAGATGCTGTGCAACATCTAGCAGATCGGCTTTGTCCTCTTCTCGAGCTTGTAGCCAAAAAAGGATGGCCAAAGCAAAAATGACACCCCATCCATTGGGTGCCACTTGAGTAGGAGCTAATCTAGTTCGGTTTAAGAACTCCTGGGCAAAAGGATGAAGGGGAAGTCTGAGGCCGTACTCAAACATCTTTAAATAGAGAGTGACCCATCCCTCTGGAGGATTGTTAGCTCTTTCCCCTTCCTCCGGAATTCTAAGGATGATGTCATCCGGAATACTAAACCCCCTACGGAGGGGTCCAAGATAGTGTTCGGGCATTTTCGAAGGGTATTCCAAACCCTGGCCCAAGGTGGAAGTGTCGCTATCTTCCCCATCATCAGAAAACCTAAAGTTCTCTACCTCTTCCAGTTCGGACTCTAACCTACGAGCTAAATCCTCCCCAGAGTCACTTGGCTGAGGGGGCGAATTGCTTATAGTCCGACCTGCACTACCTAAGCTATCGCTACTAGAGGGGGAGGACATAAAGACCATCATATTCGAAATAAAGAGTAAAATGAGAATGACTGACCTACGGAGGGTTCCAGCTGGTTTTAGGTCGAACTCTAAAAATTTAGGGAACGTAAGGTTTGACCTGAAGTCTCAAAACTATTTATAGCTAATCGAAAAAGCCTCGACGCCGTACATGTGTAATGAACGAGTGGCTAGGATCATCTCGAAATTCGTAACGACGGAATACTTTTGGTGTTGTTTTATACTTTGTCACACMTATGCTTTTCTTCGGTACTTATCCCTCATATGTTTTCTTTGCAGCCATGGTTTGTGGCTTTTCCCAAGATGTCAGGTGCAAGCGCCCACGCACAAGGCATGCTTCAAAGAGTAAGGAGGCACCAAGCCCCGTTGTCGTTGACCCTCCCACCGAGGTCGAGGTGGTTGAGGTCGAACACGAAGCCGCTTCAATGCAGGAAGCGCTTGCGACTGGAGCTTCTCAGGATCAAGAGATCCTTTAGTTTCTCCCTTTAGGGAGGTTCGGAGGAAGGCCTCCCCCAAGAAGTCCAGGAAGAAGAAGCGCAAGGTTCACCAATCCGAGGACGAGGTGATGGATGTGCGTACTGARCAGCGGGTAAGTCCCTT